CTCTTTGCTGGAAGAGAGCTTTCGCACCTAAAATTGCATCACTGGTGATCGAACAAAAAAAATGGACATGCAATTCCGATTAATGCCCGCCGCCCCAACAAAGAACAACTGAGCGGCCCTGCGTCAGATGTGGAGAGGACATCTAGCAAGTGGGCGGTCCAACTGAGCGGGCGTTAGAACTTCGGCGGCTGTAGCACCCTCCTCACTCGCTGTGGAGTCGCGAAAGCGGGGCACTCTTTCATCTTGGGGTTGGACTACTGGCACAACGAAGGGCGATCACGAATTACCTGAGTGCGATGCTGTCTTAAAACAGGCCGTCTTCCTTTTTAACCTTGGGCGATAAACAGTGGGCATCTAGGTATGACTTGAATTCTGAATCGGAAGCCGTTGCCCACTCAATCCATTTCGTAAGCTGCACATGCATTTAGGAAATTAATAAAAGTTAATAGGTCTAAGTTGTACTCACGACCTTAGCAAATACTATGGCTCTTCTTTCTTAATTTTTCCGAGCATTAATGACAGACGTTGTTGCAGATGTTTCCTTTCGACTTCCAGGTTTGGAACGTATGGATTCCGGTGAGGCGAGTCTTGGGTCATTCGTGGACCGTGAGTTTCTATCGTACTCCTCGTTTGCTTTCGTACTGGCTTTCGTACACCCAACTGCTTACGTGCACGATTTCTCCCCTGCTTGTGACACATACTTCCCAAATTCTGCTCTTTTACCCACGTAAAGTCTGCTGTACCTACTGGTTGTGTTGTTACAAAATATAACAATACATGTCTGCAAAATATTCACATTAGAAGGGCGGCGCAGTTCGGCGACGGGAAGGGGGCATTTTGCAGTTTCACTGCTTCACTGGTTCTGGTTTACAAGTCTGAGAAACCTGTGAACTCTTGTGAAGCTGGAGCAAGCTCATCGAGCCACCATGGTAAGAACCTGTCAGCTCCTGTAAGTACGGCTCTCTAGGTGGGTGGACACGTTGATGGGAGGTAGCGAAAGTAAGAAATGCCCCTCCATCGCCGAACTGCTAGAAGGGTTACCGTCAGTGGGCGATTCCACCGCATTACCGGTCAAGTGTTGCTCACGGTTTCCAGCTGATTGAATGCCGCCCCCGTGCCGATGTGCTGATGAGACCTCTGAAAGCAAAGGGAAGATGGGCAGAGCGCGAACTGACAGTGTTGACGGAACCGCCGCGAATCTGATTATCTCTTCTCAAATCCCCACGCGTCCAAGTGATGCTTCACATTCTCAGCCAGGACCACGAAAATAACCCCCGAGTAGTTGGCGGGTGGGGGGGGGGCGGCCACCAAGACCAGACTCAATCTAAGATATCTGTCGTTCAAAAAAGAACAAAATCCAATTGACTACTATACCAACAAGAGAACCAACTCAAATTTTTGAAACAAGATACAACTTCGTTGTGCATAAGCTCCTGTGTGGTCGGCTATTATATGGGGGGCGAGGGGGGGGGGGGTAACACTAGATGTCTCCCATCGCCACCGAGCGAAGTTATGCAGGCGGTTAGTGGCGAATCAAGTCCTGCCCTACGCCGAGCAAACCCACCATCCCTTCCTGAACTGCTATTTTTCAGACTTCCTGAATGCTACAATTTTTCAGGGAGAATAATGCACTGCTTGTACACCGCTTGACCGTCCGTCAAGGTTATTTAATAAGTCCTGGTTGCTACTCGAAAGCAAGTTATTTTGTAAGCCTGGTCGTACTCGAAATAATACTGCGATTCCGCAAGGGAGTAGAAAGCGGGGCGCATTTCAAAAAGGGATTAATCGACTGAGAAACTTCGTGATTTTGGCAATCAGATGATATTTCAGATGACGTACGGCTTCGTGAGAAGCAGTTCTTGCTATCATGCGAACGAGGTGATATCGGTAGCGTCAGGAAACTGCTCGCGATCAAGGACGGCCTCAACATCAACTGCGTTGATCCCCTAGGAAGGTGAGTATGCATGGACATTATCTTCCATCAAAAATCGTCGAAAATATTGCGTATAAATTTTTGTTCGGCACTTACACTAGCAAGGCGCAGTTCGGCTTGGTTGGGGCATTTTACTGGCTGTCATCAATCGCTCCCACGGAGACCTGTGAAGTCTAATGAAACTGTGCAGTAGCAGAAGGTTTGGTACACTCGTCAAGAGTCTACAGGTTCCGCTAAGGTGCTGTGTAGCACGAACTAGCACAAAAGCTAGCGAGGGGCAGAACACCCCCGCCCTGCCTCCCGGTACCTGTAAGTCAAACGGCGCCAGTTAGAAATGTTATTTCCGGCTGAACCGTGACAAATTCAGTTTGCCACTGAAAACACCTTTCTTCAGAAATGCACTGCTGATCGCCATCGAAAATGAGAACATCGAAATGATTGAGCTGCTTCTCGATCATAACATCGAAGTGAGAGAAGTTCCTTGTTCCCTTATCCTCGTTTTTTCCTGTTTCCTTTTTTCACTTTCATTTCTTTTGAGCTAGTAACAGAGTTGCTTGCTTGGGTTACTGAAAATCGCTAACACTTCATTCTAGACCGGTGACGCCATCCTCTACGCGATCGGAGAAGAAAATGTCGAAGCAGTCGAGATCATTATCGAACACCTCGAGAAGATTGACAAATTCAATCCTGAGGTAGGAGGCTGGCAATCAGCCCCATTTTCCTCAAGAACCATGCCACCATCCTCAACAAGTTCCGTTCCAACTTTGCATTTCAGACACAAGTTATTCGAGATCAATCAACACTCAGCTTTCCCACCTGACATTACTCCGATCATCCTTGCCGCTCACAAGGTTGGTTTTTCTAAAGTTTTCGGCGATGGGAATCCCTGAAAGCCGTATTTCTCCGTTTTTAGGATAACTATGAGTGCATCAAGCTGTTCCTCGATAAGAAAGGCACTGTACCGCATCCTCACGACGTCCATTGTTGCTGTCACGATTGCGAAGTGGTAAGAAAACACTTGTGTTATCACCCCCTTTCTAAGAATAGTAGCTTATGATCTTAATTAGTTACACTGTTACTACAGACAAGCGTGTGAAGAAGTAAGATTGGTGGAGCGCTTTCTTGTCTTCGAAATCTTAGGCTGCGTTTATACTTTGCGGCAGCGTAGCGTAGCGTAGCGCAGCGTAGCGTAGCGCTTCCAGCGTACGCCAGCGGCAGTGCCGAAGAGAGGATGCATATCGATCTAGCTTCACCAGCGTCACCAGCGGCAAC